GACAACTTCTTCACTACTCTTACCCTGGAAACCTCAACCTGCCTCTCTCACACAGGAGATTTCTGATCCCCAGCGCCATGGGCACCCCTACAATTAGCACATACCACTACTTTCCCCAATGCTACACATTATTTTGTCTCATGCCCTTCTGCACACTTCTCACACCTTGGAACCTCCCTCCTACACACTGCTGCCACATGCCCATAAGTTTGACACCTGTAACATCGTAATGTATTCGGCACATAAGCTCGTACAGGATAACTTCTATACCCTAACTTCACTTTGTCAGGCAAAGACTCAACTTCAAAACTCAAAAGAACAGACAATGACTCTTCTGTTTCCCCATTCTCGCCACCCTGTTTGCGTCGCACCAACGACGAGCATCACAAACACCGGGAATCTTCCCCTTCAGTTGGTCAACTTTTACATTTACTGCTACCCCAGTAATCACTCCTTTCAATGGCGCCCTTTTCTTGAGAGCGAAACAATTCACAATTATTTCCCCCATTTGTTTAACTCTGAGCCCCTTCTCCCTCTGACCAACAGAAACACAAACAATCACTAGACCACTTCTAGTTACCCTCACCGATTCCACTATACCCAACGCTTTTTTCACCCATCCTGAAACCACAAATGGATCAGCCAAAAGGCAAGGGTCCACTTTTTCCAAAGACTTCACTCCTACTGTCACAGACTCATCTTTATCCTGACCCTCTGTGCAAGCCTCGGGCTCCGAGTACTTCACCACACCTACCACCTCCAATACTTCACCCTCATTCACTTCTATTTCTCCTCCTGTCTTCAGCTCACTTTGCTTACATTTCCTACCATTCTTCTTTAACAAACCTTCTCCCTTTTTCCTGCCATTCTTTACAGACTCAAGCTCACAATCTTCCTCCCACTCTCAGACCTCCTCTGCCTCTCTTTTTCCCTCCATTCCTCCTGTCATCCAAGTATACGTCTCCTTATGATAATACTGCACTTCTCCTGACATACATCTGTTTCTTGCTTTCTCAAGGGACGCCATTTATGAGGCTCTCCCCCCCTCAAAGAGTTGAACTGGTAGAACAGTTTTGTAATCTTCTCTGTTTACACGTCTTTTCTACGGCCTACTCACCGCTTCGTCTCCTCTACTCTACTCTACTCCGGCTCCGTTGCTAGCTAAAGTCTACATGAGCAATGGTCATACACTCCCTCTTTAGACCAGCGCAGTAGGATTGTAACTTCTGGTGGTGTGTCATCTGCTTCAACGTTCAACGAGTGTACAATATTATGGCTATTCAGTCATTTTGGAGCTCACCTGCTCTAAGCCTGAGAGAATCAAAGCTAGCTGCTTCTCGTATGGGACTATATAGAATCCGCTGAAAAGCTGCAACTTGCGCTCCTCTGTCAACTTTCCACAATAACTTCTGCACATAACAGTATAGGCACACACTCGTCTCTAATGCAGGAAACAGTGTAATGTTACCAATAGCCATGACTCATCAGGTGGATAGATAGATGTAAATGATATGTTTCTCCTGACTAATCTAGCAACCACTTTCTTAATGTATAGCCATGTTTCACTGCAGCTAGTTACACAAGCGAGCCAACACAGAACTACATAACGTCGTTAGCTAGCTAGCAACGCTAGCTTGGTTGATATACGGTTCTTCCACGTACCTCTTTTGGATACATTTTCTCAGTTTTTTCTTGCCCCTTACGATTAATACAGGGTTTCCCCGCAGCCCTCAATGTCTTTCGTTGTCTGTTCTTCCATTCCTTTAGTTTGGTTTTTATTTTATTTCTGAGATTTTCATCGGCAGCAGAAAACGAAAGCGCTTGTCCATCCATTCATAGTTGTGGACATACGTTTTTTTTCAGCATATCAAATAATAATGTTTGAAGTTAATTTTAAGAAATGTCACATATACGGTTGTTCGTAACAAGGGCTCAATTGTAGTCAGTAGATGTGGTCAGCTGTTGTGTGGTTGTGGTCAGAAGTTGTGGTCAGTAGTGGACTGGTCAGTAGTTGTGTGGTTGTGGTCAGTAGTTGTATGGTTGTGGTCAGAGGTTGTGTGGTTGTGGTCACTAGTTGTGTGGTTGTGGTCAGACGTTGTGTGGTTGTGGTCAGTAGTTGTGGGGTTGTGGTCAGAAGTTGTGGTTGTGGTCAGTAGCTGTGTTCAGTAGTTGTGTGGTTATGGTCAGTAGTTGTGGTCAATAGTTGTGTGGTTGTGGTCAATAGCTGTGTTGTGGTCAGTAGTTCTGTGGTCAGTAGTTGTGTGGTTGTGGTCAGTAGTTGTGTGATTGTGGTCAGAAGTTGTGCGGCTGTGGTCAGTAGTTGAGTGGTCAGTAGTTGTGTGGTTGTGGTCAGTAGTTGTGTTCAGTAGTTGTGTGGTTATGGTCAGTAGTTGTGGTCAGTAGTTGTGTGGTTGTGGTCAGTAGTTATGCGGCTGTGGTCAGTTGTTGAGTGGTCAGTAGTTGTGTGGTCAGAAGTTATGTGGTTGTGGTCAGTAGTTGTGTTCAGTAGTTGTGTGGTTATGGTCAGTAGTTGTGGTCAGTAGTTGTGTGGTTGTGGTCAGCAGTGGTGTGGTTGTGGTCAGTAGTTGTGTGGTTGTGGTCAGTAGTTCTGTTGTGGTCAGTAATTGTGTGGTTGTGGTCAGTAGTTGTGTAGTGGTCAGTAATTGTGGTCAGTAGTTGTGGTCAGTAGCTGTGTGGTTGTGGTATGTAGTTGTGTGGTTCAGTTGTTGTGTTGTCAATATTTGTGTGGTTGTGTCCAGTAATTGTGGTCACTCTCCACCCTCACCATAATTTTTACCCTCGGCGTCTGTGAGTATTCATAGCAACGGCTCCGTTCAGGCTGCTCAATGATGACACAGAGAGCTGTTAGAAAACATTAGCTAGCCACTTTTTGTCACTCGAAACTCAGACAAACAGCTGTAACTTTTTGTTGGTAGGAGCTATTCCTAATCTGCTCTATCCATTCAGAGGGGTACAGCCTGCCCTTGTCTTTAGAGACAGGCAAACTAGCCATTTGAGATATATAGAGCACGGAGCATGATCCTGAGAAGGAGGACAAACCTAGAGCATTAGAAATTGTCTCATTATCATTCCAGGTCGTCCAGACCGGGGAAGCATTCGAAATCTTAGCACTGGGTGTTCGGTCCGAAACAGATTCACAAATCATGGGAATTTGTTGAGCTATGAAGACATTCTCTCCCGCCAAGCAAATGTGCTGCCAGGCAACAGTAGCCTTGTCAACACTGCTCCCTTATAGCTAAAGCAAGTGTGAGAAACATGCTAACATACAGTATGTTTGTGCTAATACTAAATAAGTACTGCACTCTGACCCACAAAACGTATTTGCCAGATTCATGATAGTGTTTATAGACAAAGTGAACTTCAAAATGCAATGTAGTTTTGTTGGAATTTGCAGCTGTTGTTGGTAAATAATTAATCTACTAGCTTCTGACATGACTTGCTGCATCTCAAAAGAGAGCAGTTGATGGGTAACTAAAAAAGCTCTATCTACTGATACAAGCTATGCCTAATATTTATTCTGTTGTGAAAAGCAGAGAAGTAGAAGAACACTTTATACCATGTGTTTGCTGTGTTTGATACCATTCCATTAATTCCATTCCAGACATTACTATGAGCCCGTCCTCCCCAATTAAGGTTCCACCGGCCGCCTGTGGTGGGGATCTAACATGATGCAGCCCAGACTCCCAGTGCAGGCTAGCAATGAGAAAGTGGAGCAGGCATGGTGCTTGCTATAATAAGGGGTCGGCTGCACTGATATACAGGCTTGATCCGTGAGACACATTTTACAAAAATATTGCAATACTGGTATCGTCACAGCCCTACTGTAAAGCCAGGCTCACTCAGGCCGGCTACTGCAACCATAGAAATAGAACTCCCACATAATTCCACCCATTTAATTTGCACGGGAAAACCTGTTCTAGAAATTGTATCTCTTTGACTGCAACACTAGACAGCAGAAGGCTCTCTAACTGTGCTGTATATTGTACACATCCTATAGGGTATAGGGTATTCTATAGGGTATAGGGTATTGACCATAGTCTTGATTGTGGAGGCTTACTCTGGCTGGCTAATGCTAGACAATAGACAACACTAGACTTCAACAGCAGAAAAGGATATCTTCGCTACTGTATTTTGGGTACATCCTATAGCCCCCAAATTCAACTCTGGACCTCGAAGCCAGTGCCACTGCATTTTTTTCATTGTTCCCCTCTAATCAGTGACTGATTTAGACCTGGGACACCAGGTGGGTGCAAATAATTATCAGGTAGAACAGCGACCGGCAGGGTATAGCCTCCTACCATAAATAGCTTTTGACCTGTTGAACATTCTGTTGGGGCTAGAGTTTCTGTCTGGACTATAGATGCCCATGTAACACATCTCTAAAAATCTACATTTTGCTCATCCGCCTAACACTAGTTCCTAATTCTGAAAATAACTCTGCTCTCGGTGGCTATGACACACTGGCTACTACGGCAAACCATGCTTGATCAGCTGAGCAAACTTCAGCTAGCAGACTAGTGCAAGCTTGTTTGAATGGCCATATGGTAACTAGCTTGCCAGCTTGTTGATGAAGTTGTATGGCACCAAAGTTATGGGACTGTTCTCAGAAATCAGCATTTATCAGATTCTGACAGCTGCACTGTGCCTCACTACTTTGTAACATTTGGTCAATGTGATAACATCACAGAGAGCAGTCAGATGTGCTGTAGAACTTGACGGACTAATCAGGGCAGAACAGATATCATGAGAACAAATTTGTGCGTTAGCTAGCACTTCACTACACTAGCTAGCTAGAGGGAGTATTCAGCATTGAGTGTGTGAACTGGCGTTGTTAGCATCCCTGCCTTTCGTTTCATATGGATTGATTTGAAACTGGACACTAGCTAACATTAGACACTAGCTAGCTAACACCTTAGCTAACTAGCTAATTCTTGTGCATATTACTGACCCTCGTCAGATTAACGCTGACTCTTTTGAGGATGAAAGGAGGCTCAGTGGACGATGTCACGTTGGTAACATTTTCGAATGTTAGGACAGCATATTGTAGCCCAAACTATCCCATGAATATTTGCAGGTTATCAAACAGATCAGTGCAGAAAGCTTTCACTCTATCTGACCCAAGACAATGGTATGGGCCTTCAATACATGTAAACACTTTATCACTGGCCTAGTTTCTAAGGCACTGGGTCAAGAACAACAGACAGTCATTTGCTTCAGTAAAACTTAACTTGTATGTTAAAGATCAACAAGATGGCGTCGACAATGGTTGCCTTGTAGCTAGCGCCTAACCAACTTTGCAGTCTTTTGCTTATTTTAATGTTTTTTTAACTTTTTGATCAGAAGGTTTCTAGTATTATTTCCTATGACCGAGAAGCACTTGTTGACATCAGATCGGAGATTAATGACCACAAATGTGACTTTTTTGGAGCTGGATCCTTTGTCTGGATTACCCGAAGCAGTTCCATTCATCTCGGGAGCCCTTTTTCTAAAAAGACACCGCTAGAGAAGGGGAAGTTGAGCTGGAGTACTAGTCCGATTAAGGAAAAGGCTAATCCACTTCCTAGTATATTACTTGCTAATGTACAGTCTGTGGACAATAAACTTCGCGAGATCAGAGCACGGTTTTCCCACCAGAGAAATACGAGACTGTAACGTAATATATACTTGATTCTTGACATAGGTCACTTGAATATATCTACTGCTGTACATATCATTCTTAGTACAGTGTATATACAGTGCCTTCGGAAAGTATTCAGACCCCTTGACTTTTTCCACATTTTGTTATGTTACAGCCTTATTGTACAATGGCAAAAAAAAAAAATCTCTCCAATCGACACACAATACCCCATAAAGACAAAATGAAAACAGATTTTTAGAAAGTTTTGCAAATTTATAAAAAATTAAAACAGAAATACCTTATTTACATAAGTATTCAGACCATTTTCTATGAGACTCGAAATTGAGCTCAGGTGCATCCTGTTTCCATTGATCATCCTTGAGATGTTTCTACAACTTGATTGGAGTGCACCTGTGGTAAATTAAATTGATTGGACATGATTTGGAAAGGCGCACACCTGTCTATATAAGGTCCCACAGTTGACAGTGCATGTCAGAGAAAAAACCAAGCCATGAGGTCGAAGGAATTTTCTGTAGAGCTCAGAGACAGGATTGTGTCGAGGCACAGATCTGGGGAAGGGTATCAAAAAATGTCTGCAGCATTGGAGGTCCCCAAGAACACAGCGGCCTCCATCGTTCTTAAATGGAAGAAGTTTGGAACCACCAAGACTCTTCCTAGACCTGGCCGCCTGGCCAAACTAAGCAATTGGGGGAGAAGGGCCTTGGTCAGGGAGGTGACCAAGAATCCGATGGTCACTCTGACAGAGCTCTAGAGTTCCTCTGTGGAGATGGGAGAACCTTCCAGAAGGACAACCTTCTCTACAGCACTCCACCAATCAAGCCTTTATGGGAGAGTGGCCAGACGGAAGCCACTCCTCAGCTCAGCTGGTAGAGCACGGCGCTTGTAACGCCAAGGTAGTGGGTTCGATCCCCGGGACCACCCATACACAAAAAAAAATGTATGCACGCATGACTGTAAGTCGCTTTGGATAAAAGCGTCTGCTAAATGGCATATTTATTTTTATTTTATTTATGACAGCCCACGTAAAGACTCTCAGATCATGAGAAACAAGATTCTCTGGTCTGATAAAACCAAGATTGAACTATTTGGCCTGAATGCCAAGCATCACGTCTGGAGGAAACCTGGCACCATCCCTACGGTGAAGCATGGTGGTGGCAGTATCATGCTGTTGGGATGTCTTTCAGCGGCAGGGACTGGGAGACTAGTCAGGATCGAGGGAAGTCTCTGAATGTCCTTGAGTGTTCCAGCCAGAGCCCAAACTTGAACCCAATCGAACATCTCTGGAGAGACTTGAAAATAGCTGTGCAGCGATGCTCCCTATCCAACCTGACAGAGCTTGAGAGGATCTGCAGAGAAGAATGGAGAAACTCCCCAAATACAGGTGTGCCAAGCTTGTATCTTCATACCCAAGAAGACTCTATGCTGTAATCGCTGCCCCAAAGGTGCTTCAACAAAGTACTGAGTAAAGGGTCTGAATACTTATGTAAATGTGACATTTCAGTTTTTTATTTTCAATAAATTAGCTAAACCTTATAAAAACCTGTTTTTGCTTTGTCATTACGGGGTATTGTGTGTAGATTGATGAGGGGGAAAAACAATTGAATCCATTTTAGAATAAGGCTGTAACGTAACAAAATGTGGAAAAAGTCAAGGGGTCTGAATACTTTCCGAAGGCACTCTATGTATAACTTCCTCCAGTGTACATACGTATACATTGCATTTTGATTACTTTTGCTTTTTGGGCTGTTAATTGGATTCTTTCCAACATTCTTGATTTATATTTTTATTTTTAATTTCTTTTTTTTCTTAATTATTTGCGTGCTTGTTTAACATTTTACTGCATTGTTAGGATCTAGTGACATAAGCATTTTGCTGCACCTGCTATAACATCTGCTAAACTTTGATTTGATTGAAATGACCAAAGACTGTATGAAGCCTGTGTGTTATAGGGGAAGAACCTATTCAGTCTTCAGTCTTATGATATACATTGCATAATGTGCATATGTAAACAATATTTATCACTGACCTAGTTTCTAAGGCACTGTGTCAAGAACAATCAGTGGCGACCCGTCATTAGTAGTTGTAACGAAATCAGTCCATTGAAATAAATTCATTAGGCCCTAATTTATGGATTTCACATGACTGGGCAGGGGTGCAGCCATGGGTGGGCCTTGGAGGGCATAGGCCCACCCACTTGGCAGCCAGGCCCAACCAATCAGAATGAGTTTTTCCCCACAAAAGGGCTTTATTACAGACACAAATACCTGTCAGGTGGATGGATTATCTTGGCAAAGGAGAAATGCTCACTAACAGGGAAGTAAACAAATTTGTGCACAAAATTTGAGAGAAATAAGCTTTTTGTGCGTATGGAACATTTCTGGGATTTTGTATTTCAGCTCATGAAACATGGGACCAACACTTTACATGTTGTGTTTATATTTTTGTTCAGTGTATATTAGATGAACAAAGACTGTATGTTGCCTGTGTGTGTTAGAGGAACTATTTCAGCTTAAGGCTTATGATATAGATTGCATAATGTGCAAACATAAATAGTATTTATCACTAGCCTAGTTGCCTAGTTTCTGAGAGAATGACCTCTTTGCTATCATCTGACCCTTGCTCTTCTCTCTCTCTGTCCCTCTCTCCTAGTATTATGGAAGGATCTCCCTGCGTATCCCTGCCTTGGTTTTAACATATATTCGTTGTTCCATTGTCCTACTAAGAGTTGCTGAATATATATTAATCTCCCCCTCTCTCTATCCAGGTACCTGTATTGTGGAGAGATCTCCCTGTGTCTGGAGCAGGCCACCTATCTACACAAGCTGGCCACCAAGTACCGCGTCCAGGGCCTTCAGCAGGGGGTCACCCAGTACATGACCCAGAACCTGGCCACAAACTCCCCTTCTGGACACGTGGTGGAATGGTACTGTACCGTTTATTTAATTAATGTTTATTTAACCAGGAAGTCCCACTGAGGTCAGAAGACGTCTTTCCCTAGGGATACCTGTATTTTCAGATCTCCCTTGAAAATATAACCTCCCCCTTTATGTTGTATTGTATATGTTATGGTTATAAGAATGGAGGTCAGGCGTCGTCTGATGTAGTTTGTTGAACTTACTAAAGGCATTGCTGTCAAAAATATAGTAGGTAAATTGTTTTTAACTAGGAAGAAAGTTTTCAGCTGAAGTCTATGCATTATGAAGTCCATACATTAGTCTTTACTATAAAGATTGCATTCGTTAACAACTAGCTCAACTTGTAAAACATATACTTGACTAAAATAATTGTTGAAACCATTGCAGGTACCCTTACCTAAGTGCATCGGTTGGTATCATGAAAACATGGTCTGGACTTATTGTTGACAACATTGCAGGTACCAGTACGCCCTGCAGACTGGCGACGTGGCCCTGAGGGACAGCTGTCTGCAGTACTTGTCCTGGAACCTGTCCTCTGTGCTGCAGAGTGGGGAGTGGACCACCGTCAGCAATGACCTGCTCATGACCCTGCTGCAGCGCTCAGACCTCATCCTGCAGGTACGCCTACTCCTGGGTAGCCTGATCCCAGATCTGTTTGAGAGTCATTCCTCACAAAACTCAGACAAAAAATAAGACCATGATTTGGGGAATTTTCAAGAAATTGAATAGTCCTTTCTAAATGCATAATTGAGAAATGATTAATGAAAGTTGGCATATTTATGACATTTTGGCCTTACCCAGACATTCAAGACTGCATAATGTTTAATCTGCAGATGATACAAAGCAAAAATTGCTGTCATATGAAGCTTTACAGCTTGCTCTGTTATGAGCAGGGGTCGCATTAGCAAAACGAGGTCTCATTTTCATAACGCAGGCCATCAAAACATCTGCGTTTTAAACCATTTCACATGCGTTTTATATTGAAAGTCAAAAATGTTCTTCAATAGAGTGATCAAGGGCGTGCAACCATAGTTTTCCTTCACAAAAAATAAATTATTGCAACACATTCAGCAGAAAATAACTTCATTTTCATCAAATGACAACATAAATGCAACGCTAAATTAGCTTATGTAGTGGGCAGTAATGTTTTACGTGTGTATAAAGTGTATATTATATTATAAATACCTCACGTGATTTGTAATAAGACTAAGCAATTAACCTATTAAAATGTTTATCTGACTCCATAAAAATAATTATAATATACACGCAAGCATTAGGCAATCAGTTGACGTAGACTAACAAGAATTGGTCTGAGAATGGTCTACAGTACATTACATTTACATTTACATTTTAGTCATTTAGCAGACGCTCTTATCCAGAGCGACTTACAGGAGCAATTAGGGTTAAGTGCCTTGCTCAAGGGCACATTTACGTTATTTAGCAGACGCTCTTATCCAGAACGACTCACAAATTGGTGCATTCACCCTATAGCCAGTGGGAAAACCACTTTACAATTTTGGGGGGGGGGGGGGTGGTAGAAGGATTACTTTATCCTATCCCAGGTAATCCTTAAAGAGGTGGGGTTTCAAATGTCTCCGGAAGGTGGTGAGTGACTCCGCTGTCCTGGCGTCGTGAGGGAGCTTGTTCCACCATTGGGGTGCCAGAGCAGCGAACAGTTGGAACATTAGGAAAGTATTCAGACCCCTTGACTTATTCCAGATTTTGTTACGTTACAGCCTTATTCTAAAATGTGTTGAATTGTTTTCTCTCTCTCAATCTACACACAATACCCCACAATGACAAAGCAAAAACAGGTTTTTATAAGTTTTTGCTAATATATTGAAAATAAAAAACTGAAATGTCACATTTACATAAGTATTCAGACCCTTTACTCAGTACTTTGTTGAAGCACCTTTGGCAGCGATTACAGCATAGAGTCTTCTTGGGTATGAAGCTACAAGCTTGGCACACCTGTATTTGGGGAGTTTCTCCATTCTTCTCTGCAGATCCTCTCAAGCTCTGTCAGGTTGGATAGGGAGCATCGCTGCACAGCTATTTTCAAGTCTCTCCAGAGATGTTCGATTGGGTTCAAGTTTGGGCTCTGGCTGGAACACTCAAGGACATTCAGAGACTTGTCCCGAAGCCAGTCCTGGTTGTCTTGGCTGTGTGCTTTGTGTCGTTGTCCTGTTGGAAGGTGAACCTTCGCCCCAGTCTGAGGTCCTGAGCGCTCTGGAGCAGATTTTCATCAAGGATCTCTCTGTACTTTGCTCCGTTCATCTTTCCCTCGATCCTGGCTAGTCTCCCAGTCCCTGCCAGTGGAAAACATCCCCACAGCATGATGCTGCCACCACCATGCTTCACCGTAGGGATGGTGCCAGGTTTCCTCCAGACATGACACTTGGCATTCAGGCCAAAGAGTTCAATCTTGGTTTCATCAGACCAGAGAATCTTGTTTCTCATGGTCTGAGTGTCCTTTAGGTGCCTTTTGTCAAACTCCAAGCGGGCTGTCATGTGCCTTTTACTGAGGAGTGGCTTTCGTCTGGCCACTCTACCATAAAGGCCTGATTGGTGGAGTGCTGCAGAGATGGTTGTCCTTCTGGAAGGTTCTCCCATCTCCAAAGAGAAACTCTGGAGCTCTGTCAGAGTGACCATTTGGCCGGGCGGCCAGCTCTAGGAAGAGTCTTGGTGGTTCCAAACATCTTCCATTTAAGAATGATGGAGGCTACTGTTCTTGGGGACCTTCAATGCTGCAGAAATGTTTTGGTAACCTTCCCCAGATCTGTTCCTCGACACAATCCTGTCTCGGAGCTCTACGGACAATTCCTTCGACCTCATGGCTTGGTCTTTGCTCTGACATGCACTGTCAACTGTGGGACCTTATATAGACAGGTGTGTGCCTTTCCAAATCATGTCCAATCAATTGAATTTACCACAGGTGGACTCCAATCAAGTTGTAGAAACATTTTAAGGATGATCAATGGAAACAGGATGCACCTGAGCTCAATTTCGAGTCTCATATCAAAGGTCTGAATACTTATGTAAAGAAGGTATTTCTGCTTTTTATTTTTAATACATTTGCCAAAAGTTATAAAAACCTGTTTTGCTTTGTCATTATGGGGTATTGTGTGTAGATTGATGAGGGGGAAAAAAATGCAATCAATTTAGGCTGTAATGGGCCTCCCGAGTTGTGCAGTGCTAGAGGCGTCACTACAGACCTGTGTTCAATCCCAGGCTGTATCACAACTGGCCGTGATCGGGAGTCCCATAGGGCAGCGCACAATTGGCCCAGCGTCGTCCGAGTTAGGGGAGGGTTTGGCCGGGGGGGGCTTTACTTGGCTCATCGCGCTCTAGCGACTCCTTGTGTTTCCTCTGACACATTGGTACGGCTGGCTTCTGAGTTAAGCGGGCGGGTGTTAAGAAGCGCGGTTTGGCGGTTCATGTTTCGGAGGACGCATGACTCGACCTTCACCTCCCGTTGGGGAGTTGCAGCGATTAAACAAGATCGAAATTGGGGAGAAAAAGGATGATTAAAGCTGTAACATAACAAAATGTGGAAAAAGTAAAGGGGTCTGAATACTTTCTGAATGCTTTGTTTATCAAAGGCAGACATTTCATTTACATTGTAAAATAAGTGGATTCACATACAGGGCATAAATCTTAAGTAACAAGCATTACAGGGCATTATTCCAAGCATATAGATCCTAAGATCCTACATCCTTACAAGAGAAAGCATGAACAAAGATTAGATTTGAGGGTCTGAAGTTTGCCAATGAACATCTGAATGATTCAGAGAAGAACTGGGTGAAAGTGTTGTGGTCAGATGAGACCAAAATGGAGCTCTTTGGCATTAACTCAACTAGCCGTGTTTGGAGGAGGAGGAATGCTGCCTATGACCCCAAGAACACCATCCCCACCGTCAAACATGGAGGTGGAAACATTATGCTTTGGGGATGTTTTTCTGCTAAGGGGACAGGACAACGTCACCACATCAAAGGGACGATGGACGGGGCCATGTACCGTCAAATCTTGGGTGTGAACCTCCTTCCCTCAGCCAGGGCATTGAAAATGGGTCGTGGATGGGTATTCCAGCATGACAATGACCCAAAACACACGGCCAAGGCAACAAAGGAGTGGCTCAAGAAGACGCACATTAAGGTCCTGGAGTGGCCTAGCGGGACAAAATCCCTACTGAGATGTGTGCAAACCTGGTGAACAACTACAAGAAACATCTGACCTCTGTAAAACTAAAACTGAGGGGGTAGTGTTTCAACTGAGGGGGCTAAGCCCCCTTTAGCCCCCTCGTGGGGACAGGTACAAGAAAAGTCATCTGAGAAAAGTAGCTACATCAGTCAGAGCACTGTCTACTGATAGAATGCCTGTGCCTTGAATGCTGGAATTTGATTGGTCCATCCGAGAGGAGAAGTGCAACTGAAGCACAGTTCCCGCTCAGCCCAGTCAAAGCTATTCGCTGCTCTGGCACCCCAATGGTGGAACAAGCTCCGCCAGGACAGCGGATTCACTGACCACTTTCCGGAGACACTTGAAACCTTACCTCTTTAAGGAATACCTGGAATAGTATAACAGTAATCCTTCTACCCCCCCTCCCCCACCCCCCATTAAAAAAGGGATGGTTGTCCCACTGGCTATCCTAAGTTGAATGCACCAATTTGTAAGTCGCTCTGGATAAGAGCGTCTGCTAAATGACTTAAATGTAAATGTAAAATGAGTCTTAAGCTGAGCAGAAATGACAAAATGCAGCAAGAAATCTCGTATGCGTTTTAGATTTTTTTTCGGTGTGAAAAACGGAGAATGCTGGTTAATGCGACCCCTGATGAGTAGTGTTTAATTTCAATAAAAAGTTTGTACATACATTTATGAATACTTAAAAATATAAACATGAATATTGAAAATATACATTTTTAGGATTTGACAATTTTTTTCAAATCAACAATATATTGTTGAACATAATATAATCTAGATGCATATCAAAGTTCCAGAGTGGGATCTCTGCTAGTTTGAAGGTTATGGCCCCTTTTATACAGATAAATTGGCATGGTAGGCAATAACAGCATTTCCATCCACTGTTTTAATGCGAGTAAAGTCATACCGTATATATGACAGCTGTGATGGAAACAGGAAGTTTCGGTACAATTTTATAAATGCTGACAGATCATTTGTTTGTTTGACATGGTGGGATCTTTTTGTGTCGGTAATATCATATCAAAGTAAACTTGGAGTCACATGATGATATGGTGTGTGGTCCTCCCACTACGCTTCGGGAAACCATGCAGTTTATTAGGCTACAGATTACATACATTATGATGGTCTTCACAGTGTGGTGAAAGTACACGGTGATGTTGATGCTTCTTTCCAATAAATATCAAGGGTCTTATTCTGGTGACATGATGATTGATGCTTGACCGCCGTTTGACAAATACAAATATTCTTGCCATAATAATAATCTTATCCATAATAATCTCATCATGTAGACTAGGCTACCCGCACCAGAGTAGGCACATATGCTATTTAATGCAATAGTTTTTGTGACAAAACTATCAGTAGTTTTGTTGAAAATGTGATGGAAACACATTGAACTTTACATTTGTATTCGGTACATGAAAACATATGCGAAAAAGTACATTTTGTGTGCACTATGTCCTCGTAACTGATTTTTTAAAAACTGTTTAGTGGAAACACACCTCTGTTGCGAAAATGCACATATGTTCTATATGCAGATTTTTGAATATTCACATGAAAATCTGTCGCCAATTGGATGGAAACCTAGCTAATGTTACCAATCACAGCCCTTCTTTTACTATCTTTGCACATCCTGCAAATCACCAGCAGAGGGCGACCATTTTGAATCAATTTTCACATTCACTGTTGGTAATGCTTTCAAATTGGATCATAACTCTAAAAGTAGCAGAGATCCCACTCTGGAACTACGATATGCCCGTACAGTATATTATGTTCAACAATATATTAAAACATTTGCCTAATCCACATTTTTATTTGATCAATATTCATGTTTATAGTTTACAATATTCATAAATTAATGTAAAAAAATAAGTAATTGAAATCAAAATACTACTCATATTACAGAGCAACGAGAAAAACTTAATATGACACCAATGCTTGCTTTGTTGGCACATACAGATGAAACACTATGGAGTCTTAAAGGAGGCCTGGGTAAGGCCAAAATGTCATAAATATGCCAACTTTGATACATTATTTCTCAATTATGCTTTTAGATACAAATGTCAAAAGGACTATTCTATGGATTACATTTAATAAAAATCCCCAAAATCATGGTCTTGTTTTTGTCTGGGTTTCGTGAAGAATCACTCTTGAGCTGTCTGGCCAACTCCTTGTCACTCATTGTCACACAAATGCCTGCCTGATCCCAGATCTGTTTATGTTGGCAATACAGCACAAACCGATCTGGGAGCAGGGTAAATCCTGTGTACTACTCCATCTTATGATTATGTACAGAACCATTGAAAATGTTTTAACTTGTGTGTCTTTGTTTATTTGTATACAGTAAATATTGTGTCTAATGTACTACTGGCTGCACAATGAATTTCCTGGGCCCGTGGGAACAATCATGTTTTAAAAAGTGACTTTGAATTGCAGAGTGAGATGGAGCTCTTCGCTGCACTGGAAGCCTGGATCAACCAGAACGAACCGGATGCTCTAACAGCCGAGAACGCTCTGAGAGCTGTCCGTTACGCCATGATGCCCCCGCGGGAGCTCTTCCGCCTGCAGACCCAGTCTCCTGTTCTGGCCCGCTACCAGGAGTCGGTTCGGGACCTCCTCTACCAGTCCTACCAGTTCCACTCCGCCTCCCCCCTCCACATGGCCAAGTACTTTGACGTGAACTGCAGTCTCTTCATGCCCAGGAACTACCTCTCCCCAGCCTGGGGGAGTCCTTGGGTCATCAACAACCCCATGAGGGACGACCGCAGCACCAGCTTCCAGACACAGCTGGGACCCAGCGGCCATGATGCCAACAAGAGGGTGACCTGGAACGCACTGTTCTCGCCCCGTTGGTTGCCCCTCAGCATGAGGCCAATGTACTCCGAACAGGGCTCCACGCAGCCGACCCGCGTTGACGGAGGCCGCCTGCGAATCATTATTACTCCCGCTACGTCAAGTGCGGACTTTGCCGGGGTGAGCTTCCAGAAGACGGTGGTGGTGATGGCAAGGAAGCAGGGAAAGATGGTGGTGAGACATGTTTATAACTTCCACCAGAGCACCGAGGAGACTGGAGACTTCTTGGTGGATGCTGATCTGCACCGCAAGATGTCTGAGTACCTGGTCGATGGTTCCCTCCATCTACACATCGTGGTCAAGCCACTCTACCAGACACTCATCGCTACCAAGAAATGACCCCCTCACTCTTTCTATGTGCCCCAATTCTCTATCCTTCTGCCATACGTGTGCACTTGTTCACTTCCCTTCATGCATTTACATTTTAGTCATTTAGCAGATACTCTTATCCAGAGCGACTTACAGTTAGTGAGTGCATAAATGTTTTCATACTGGCCCCCCGTGGGAATCGAACCCACAACCCTGGCGTTGCAAGCGCAATGTTCTACCAACTGAGCTACACGAGACCTGCATGTGCATGTGGAGGAGTACATGAGTGCACACTTTGGGAGAAATGTCCCTACTCCCTCTCAGTACATACAGTGGTATGGTGGACACCATGTAAGCCAAGCACTGCCCTCTTAAAGCATCACACTCATATCGCATAATACGCAATGTCAAGGGAGAACCAACCCATCCCATCATGTCTGCAATGCATGGGATACATGGATAGTAGACGATATCTGTTTGATAGCTTTTAGAAACATTTTGTACAGTATTTATTCAAGATCAATATGTCTTTCAAACTTTGTTTTAGTTATGTTTTAAACGCTATTTCTCTTGGTGCTATTATACGCCAGGCATTCACCTCAAAGGGGGCGTTGCCATTCATCACATCTAACATGGTTACTCTGTTCAGGTGCTTTTAGCCATTCTGTTTCTCATGTAGCATACCTAGGCCTAGAAACCAAAGTACTAGAAACCATGTTGATAGAGAAATGGATTGAATGCATTTAGTCACTTTGTATAACAAATAACACTAAGGTTATCAAAAACATGATTAGATTAGATTCATTGTCACTTTTCTTTTCATTAATAATAGCTAATATTAGTTATCTTAGAAAATATGTTTATTATTCTCATGCTGTTCACCAAGGTTCAGAAACAAACAAACAAAAAAGTTCCCTCTTCATTGACATTACTGTTGATGACATCTCTTGCTTTTGGTACCATCCAATAAAGCAAAGTTCTTCCAGGCCAGATTGACTGTTTCCAATATTTTAGAGTGATGTATTACAAGTAGCCTTTGTTTATTGATTATGTCAGGATATGAGTGCATACAGTTTTCATAATACACTTGAAATTAATATTGTGATGTCTCGCTACGACCTCTGCCTATCACGTTTCAGGAGAAGACCAGGACGCAGACAGTGTCGAAGTAACAAAAGTTTATTACAAAAACAGGGGGCAGGCAAACGACAGGTCAAGGGCAGGCAGAGGTCAGTAATCCAGATTAGAGTCCTAAAGGTACAGAACGGCAGGCAGTCTCAGAGTCATGGCAGGCAGAGGTCAATAATCCAGGGTGGTGTGACAAGGTACAAAACGTCAGGCAGGCTCAGAGTCAGGGCAGGCAGAATGGTCAAAACCGGGAAAAAAAGAAAACAGGAACTTGAAAAAGACAGGAGCAAGGGGAAAACCGCTGGTAGGCTTGACAAAACAAAATAAACTGGCAACAGACAAACAAACAAAGAACACAGGTATAAATAGACTGGGGATAATGGGGAAGATGGGCGACACCTGGAGGGGGGTGGAGACAATCACAAAGACAGCTATTTGAAGAATCTCAAATATAAAATATATTTTGATTTGTTTAACACTTTTTTGGTTACTACATGATTCCATATGTGTTATTTCATAGTTTTGATGTCTTCACTATTATTCTACGGTATTTTTGTGCATTCAAATTGCCATCGATAAAATGCAATTGTGTCCGTTGTCCATAGCTTATGCTTGCCCATACCATAACCCCACCACCACCATGTTGCACTCTGTTCACAACGTTGACATCAGCAAACTGCTCGTCCAGATGATGCCATACACATGGTTTGCGGTTGTGAGACCGGTTGGATGTACTGCCAAACTCTCTAAAATGACGTTGGAGGTGGCTTATGGTAGAGAAATGAACATTAAATTATCTGGCAACAGCTCTGGCGGACATTCCTGCAGTCAGCATGCCAATTGCACGCTCCCTCAAAACTTGAGACATCCGTGGCATTGTGTTGTGTGACAAAACTGCACATTTTAGAGTGGCCTTTTATTGTCCCCAGCACAAGGTGCACCTGTGTAATGATCATGCTGTTTAATCAGCTTCTTGATATGCCACACCTGTCAGGTGGATGGATTATCTTGTCAAAGGAGAAATGCTCACTAACAGGTATGTAAACAAAACCAGACATAATGGGACCCATATCGTCCAAAAACTTGACTCAAGTTTGCCAAAAAGCACCTGGATGATCACCAAGACTCTTGGAAGAAGGTTCAATGGACAGATAAGTCAAAAGTATAACATTTTGGATGACATGGGTCCCATTATGCCTGTCGAAAACCAAACACTGCATTCCACTGTAAGAACCTAATACCAAGGGTCAACCATGGTAGTGGTAGTGTGATGGTTTAGGGATACTTTGCTGCCACAGGACCTGGACGACTTTCCTTAATAGAAGGAACCATGAATTCTGCTCTGTAATCAGAGAATTCTACAGGAGAATGTCAGGCCATCCGTCTGTGTGCTGATGTGCAGCTGGGTCATACAGCAAAACAATTATCCAAAACACACAATCAAGTCAACATGAAAATGGCTAAAAAGCAACACATTTGAAGTTTTGGAATGGCCTAGTCAAAGTCCAGACATAATCCCAATTGAGATATGTCAGGATTTGAAATTAGCAGTTCATGATTGAAAACCCACAAATGTCTACTGCATGGAAGAGTGGGACAAAATTCCTCCACAGCGATGTGAGAGACTGATCAACAACTACAGGAAGCGTTTGGTTGGAGTCATTGTTGCTGAAGGTGGCACAACCAGTTATTGAGTGTAAGGGGGCAATTATTTTTTCACACAGGGGCATTGGGTGTTGCATAACTTTGTTTATGAAATAAGTATGTCATTTGTGTTATTTGTTCACTCAGGTTCCCTTTATCTAATATTAGGTTTTGCCTGAAGATCTGATAACATTCAGTATCAAAAATATGCAAAAGTAGAGAAAATTAGAAAGGGGGCAAATAGTTTTTTACAACACTGTAGCTATATAAAGTTAAATATAACCTGCAAGAAAACATGCTGATCATTTATCACATATAACCGTACTCAGATACTGCAATAAAGTAACGCAATCCTGTCATACAGTCTGCATAACTACAATATTTACTACAGTTCCCACCATCCTTTGCGCCCAAGGAGGAATAACGTTAATAAAATAGGCCAATGATTCATGCTATCCGGGATCCTTGGGACGTCCCTATCCCCCATTGAAGTTGACATTTTAAACGGTAAAGGTAAGGATTAAGGTCATGTAATGGTTATGGTTCGGGGTTTAGGGCAGGGACGTACCAATGATTTTGCATAGCACTAACCAAAGGCCAATGGCTCACAGCAAAGATGGTGGATAAATGAAGATAGTTCACGCAGGCCTTTAACCATTGAAAAAAAACTTTAAGTTCCGGTCTACTTAACTGGGTGTGTCTCAGATGGGTCTGGTCTACTTAGTTCGTTGACTTTCATTGAACCAGAACCCCCCCCAGAAAAAAACAGCGAGTGGGGTGTCTCGCTTCCTCTTCCGTCTATGGCTCACATTGTCTGATCCAAGTTAGTAGCTTTCAGCTGCCAGCCGTGGCCCCTTATGTGAGTGCCGCTGAGAATTCTTTGCATTGCAGTTGCAAAATTACCCGTTTCCAGACAGTTTTACAAGGTGTGCAATTGTAATATTGCTGTTTGCACGGACACGCACGGTTCAGACGCAAAAAGGCTCCAAGTGCATGAAGATCGCGACTTGTATTTTGCATCTTTGTTGCAAAGCAAGCCGCTGAAGCAAGCTCCGGTGCGAGGGCGATGGAGGGAGGGAGTGAGAAAGAAGGCAAAGTCTTTTGTGCTTCCCCTCCCCCCAGATCAAAGTAAAGGGGAAATGTCTCAGCCAAAGGGAGGTAAGAATATTACATGCGATCTGTGCAAAACGACTGATATGCAACGAGCTCTGCATTGTCTGCAAAGTGCATTTCTGCAGGTTGGATATAGTCAATGCATTTTAAAGTTTGCTGCGTTAAAAGGGTCAGCATTTCCTGTTTAGATCTTTCCTTTTGCAGAGTTCCTGGTAAAACGATGCTGTCTTGTCTGTACTCACATCAGATAGACACTCATTTATCATTTTTACGGTATTTGCAGTCCTCTTGTGCCAGGGATGTTATAGCGTAGGTATAGCTGTCATACAGTCAAACACCCTGCAGACATAAAATTGCAACGCCTTTAAAGCATACACGATCCATGCACATTTCGACGAGATGTTGCCTTTGCAAGGTAATGAATCGAATGCATTTATTGCACTACATTTGCACACAAGGTGTATCCATTAACTGCATACTTTGCGTACAGTATTGTGCATGCGTTGTAGCCAGGTCAAGTTCAGTTCAAACGGCTTGGAAAATCACACTAAAGTTCTTCTGACAAATTTTTTTTTTTCGGTTTTGTTTTCAGTGTCAGTGGTGCGTAATGGAAAATTATTGGGACGCCTCGTCCTAGTGACTGAGCTTTGTTCCTGCAGTAATAAATACATAGGTAGACATTTAAAAAAATAAAAAGCTACATTTAGATTTGCTGTGTGAACGTCTACTGATACAAACAGCCTAAGGAACAGGGCAATAGGCTATTAAAATACGAGTCTCCAAGCAAAAATGTCCCTGCAACAGTCAGTAAGTAGCTAGTACACTATTTTGTCAGCTCTGACAGCTTTCCCTAACGAAAACAGATTGCAGTTAAGAGTGCAGTATAACCGCAGTATGCTGCAAATACAGCGTCCAAAATAAGTTTTTTTTATTGCAGTAATTTTAGTGTAACGCCGTAGCAACAATTACTGTGTCCAAAATTTCAGTTGACTGCAGTTACAGCACTTTTACTGAAGTTTCAAAACTGCAATCTTTTTTTTGTAAGGGAATTCTCTGAAGACCACTGCACAAGAAGACGATGCCTAGAGACAATATTCAGAATCAACATCTATAACCCTCTGGAATGCATTTCTACTGGCCAAATG